TGGGCTGATATTGAAAACTATATAATTATAAAGTATTCACAGTATGTGCTACTTGAGTTGCAGCAATTTTTCAAGAGGTATNATTAATTTCTGTATTAATTGAGAGAGAGAGTTTTGACCAGCTACTGCCCATCAGGCAGGGGCACCTGTAAAGTCAAATGGATGCCATGAGGCGTGCTCATATTTGTGTCTGTGGGCTTNTAAATGTTCCAGTGATGATTTCATAGTCTGTGAAAGATAACAATTTTGCAGTGATGTTTGGAAGAACAGTTTGATTCATTCATCCATCCAAGTCTTGTGCTTGCAAAGGAAATACAATTTTTAAGCCCATAAGGCGACAAGAAACTCTGTTTATCAATGAGGCATGCAACTAGACAGATTTGTCAGCCGACTATTATGATCGTGTTCCATGTCTACACAACAGGCCCCAGCCAAGAAGGGGTATAATGAATGTGCCTGACTCAGGCATTTGTGTGTGAGATAATGTAGTTTGAATGGAAATGAAAGTCAGGGGTGACAGTGGCGGATTTCTTTTTTTAGAATAAAGCCAAAGTACAGAATTTTACTATATATATATAAACTTTAGTGTCATGGCTATAGAAATGAAAACATATGTACGTGAAGTCTGAAAATTGTTTTTTCAAAGGCTTTTTGTTCTATAATGTTATAATGACACATGACTGAGATACTGCATTTTATAAAGCGAAACAAAATTATAGAATTATATGCCACAGTGACAAGTTTAAAGGAAAAGGAAAACAACCACTAGACTGGTTAATTGTGTAATATTAAATGTATATTTGTCATACCTGATGATGCATGTCATTCACAAGCATAATTAACAATTAACGATGACAATTCAATGAATGTAATCTAATGTCTATCAAATGGAATACTTCTGAATAAAATTTCCTACAAATTTGAAAAAATACAAGGTGGTTCAAATATGACCGGGACTGATTTGTGTGTAAACAAGCCGCACTGCGCAGCAGCTGTGCGACCTTGAGAGAGTGAAGCCACAACCTTCACCCTTCCTCCTGTTTGGGTTAGAACTTGTTCAGTCCTGTCTGGGAATTGCTAGAGTGATGAGTGAAAAGAAGGTACCGCCGAGCATGGAACAACGCATTGTGATCAAATTCCTCGTTGGAGAAAATGTCCCGTTCACTGAAATTCACCAGACTCTTAACAACAGTGTGGGGAAGAGTGTCTCTCATGGACCCATGTGTTTGAGTGGTGTAAGTGCTTCAGAGAGGGCAGAGAGCGCGTGGAGAATGAACTGTATGATCGTTGGCCGCGAACATCCATCACCAAGCCAAACATTGATCGTGTAGATGCACTTATTCGTGAGAATAGGTGCATCACTATCAAGGAACTTGGAGCAATGCTGTCCATCAGTGTTGGTAGTGTAGAAGACATCGTGAAATACCACCTGCACTATCACAAGGTGAATGCACGGTGGGTACCACGCACTTTGACGGATGTGAACAAAATAGTGTGCATGCAAGCTGCCAGTCATCTCCTAAAACAGTTTGAAGATGAAGGTGATGCATTTTGAAGTCTACAGTGACCACCGATGAAACGTGGGTGCACTACTTAATTCCCAAGACCCAGCAGTCATCACGCGAGTGGCGGAATACCAGTTCTCCCAAACCCAAGAGATCGCAGTAGTGCTGTTTGGCAGGAAAAATGATGGCAACATTCTTCTGGGACTGGCAGGGGTTATCCATGTAGACTTTCTGACAGATGCCAGAACAGTCAATGCAGCTTATTACTCAGCCCTCCTGGCAACAGACGTGAAGGAAAAGATCTGATCCAAGTGGAAGACAGGTGGAAAGCGGGTAGCCTTCCTTCAAGACAATGCATGCCCCCATATGGCCAAAACAACAATTGAAACTCTCCAGAAATTGAAATGGAACCCTCTGACACATCTGCCGTACTGTCCTGATTTGGCCCCAAGTGATTTCTACCTGTTCGAAAGGTTCTATTCAGACTTGAAAGGCATGCAGTTTGTGGACGACGCCATCCTCCAGACTGTTCGGGAATGGATATGCCGCCAACCACATGCCTTTATTGAAAAGGGGATCAGGATGCTTCCAGAACGTTGGAAAAAATGTCTTGACTCCGGAGGGGAGTACGTTGAAGACTGACATGTGCAAGTAAGTGTTTGGCCATTATGGTTTAAAAAAAATCAGTCCCTATCATATTTGAACCACCTTGTAACATACGCTCAAAATCACTGTTACAGTGCTGGACTATATATATCCATATTCTCCCGTGTTAAGTTGTTAAGTGACTAGACACAGGGTTCAGATGGGTAACAGATTTATTGGACCATTACACACTGTAACTACAATTAATTGTAGCACTATCACTAACTCACATACTCTGCAATTCACTATGGCACACACTTAAGTCTTCTCAGTCTGCTGTGCCTTCACCAGTCATTGCCTGGTAACAACTCCCAGCACTGTAGATTCCTTAGCTTCCACATTCATGACCTTAACAGACTGTCTCATAGCTCTACACGGCTGCAACTCCAGGCCATTAACTCTAGGCCGCATCTGGCCACCATTGGCTGTCACCTGTCTGCCTTCAGACTCACTCACAATCTCAACTGCTAATCAGTGACTGCAGTTCCATTCCAGTCTGCAGTATACAACCTTGGGGTAGACCACATAGAAAACACCATCTCCATGGCTTCTCTATTATTTCATGTTTCTTCTCTAACAATATCTTCACTGTGGCATCGGACTCTATTGCTGAGAAAACATGTTTACAGACCCATTATGTAGTAATGAATGTCTTTCCTCTTCCACTATTCCAGCTTTCAGCCATCATGTCAAATTGTTCCCTCCTTAAGGCTAGTTGTCCTGAGTAGCTTACAGATGCATTGCCATTTTCTTCTTTTCTCATCTGTGGAGGCAAAACGCCTATGGCACCGGCACTTGGGCTGTCGATAGTCTATTCTTTCATTTGGGAGGGGGCCAGATCTTCCACAGTGTCCTGTTACTCGTTCCCAATTCTAATAAAGGACATGACTATGAGCTTTTTGATCTCAAGCCCTCGATGACAGCTCTGTTGCTTCCCAGAACTAACGGCTCTTTCAGGCCCCAGTCCCTTAAGCCATTGCTGCACTCCAGCCACGTCCATTGTCCCTTCTAGAATGTCCATCCATCAGGGGCTCTTTATACAGCATCATCCCATGCCCAGCTTTTCAGTGGGCTTCAGTATCCTACAGCTGGTTGCTGGTCCCAGATCAGTCCTCTGGGGGTCTGATAAGTCTCCACTGTGGAATCTTCATAGTCTTAATTCTGGCTTCCATTTGTTCCTGGCCAGTCTCTATCCTGGCCTCCATGGCAACATCCATCCTGGCCTTCATCTCCCCTTGGCCAGCTTTCACCGCAGCCTTCACTTCTTCTTGGCCAGCTTCTGTCTTGGTTGGCCTTCATCTTTTCTAATCAGGCCTCCACCCCTTGCGGCATGGTACACATATTTTCTGGAATGATCTCAAACTTTTCTTTACTGGTCTTGGTTACAGCCTACATTTCTCATACTAAGAGTTTCTGATTCCTCTTGGTTACTTGGTTTACTAATGTTCAAAATCCACCATGATTATTAGTCACTTGGGTTCCAATCCGACCAGTTAATCCAGTTAATCCCACTTCTGACACCAGCTGTCACAATTTTTAGTGACTAGGCATGGTGTTGGGATGGGAAATCCAATTTAAACTGAAGTCCATATATTTTTTCGAAAGTACTTACCCTGGATCCAGACTCTTTCATCTCACGAGAAATTCTAACCCAAGCCAAAAATATTTTGTCCTGCCTAGCATAGTCTGGGTGGCATTTGTCATATATATGAGGTTCTTGTTCAATTAACAGCATCATCATCATCATCATCAGTAACCTGTCAGACGACAGGTCCACAGTCTCTTCCAAAACAATTCCTCCACTTAATGCAATCTAGAGCTTTCTCCTTCAAATGACAGTATCCTCTTCTGTCCCCAAGGTCATCCAGCATCTTCTTACGTCTTCTTCTTCGTCTCCTTGTCACTTCTATCCGCCCCTCTTATCTTTCCTTCAATAACTTCTTTTAGAAGGCAGTTTCTGCATAAAACATGACCAATCCAATTAGCCTTCCGTTTTCTTATTTCGTGTAGGATATTCCTCTGCTCACTGACTCTAATTAACACTTCTTCATTTCTCACATAATCGGTCCAACTGATCTTCTCCATCCTTCTCCAACACCACATTTCAAAACTTTCTAGATGTTTCTGATCTACTGCCCTAAGTGTCCATGTTTCAGCCCCATACAGAGCTATGCTCCAAATGTAGCATTTCACTAGTTTCTTCCTCAAATTTATGTCCAATTTGCTGGTAAAAAGATTCTTCTTCTTG